ATCATAAAACTGATAAATTTTTCTCTTAAAATCACTAATAGTAAATAAATTTTGGCTTTAATAAATGTGAGAAATAATTATTTAAAAAATTGCTTCACAATGGCAATTGTTTATAAGGTGGTTTGTTTTAAATAAAATGACCCATATATTTATTTATAAAACCTAACTATATTACAGATTGTATGCAGTTTACAATTGAGATAGCGTTAATTTTTTTTTCATTTTTTCGTGCACTTTCTCTACACTTTTGCGTTCTAGCTAGATTTTGTACTTTGTTTAAGTGCGCATGCTCCGTTTTACACTCTTGTTACACTCGAGTGTAGCGGTGTAGCTAGCGAGAACAAACCTTTTGCATGTAAAAACCGTGACGAGATCTAGACTTTGCATGGCATCATCTCGTCTCGTGGACAGCACTATAAACTAGAGATTTCTTTGGTCCTGTATTAGATAAAACTGAAAGAAAACTGCATAAATTTGCAAAAAGCAAACATGGTTAAATAATACATATTTACGGTATTCTGTATAGAAAAAAACTCGACTCACTTTTGTTGCAACACATTTGGAAGTCGGTCTCGAAATGAGTAATCGACAACTTCAAGTGACTCAAAATGAAAAAAATGTCAGGTTCTAGTTTTTGTGTGTGTGTTATGTTGGCAACAACTGTAGAAAATGTCTGCTGCGCGTTGCGCCGTTACTTTTTTTGTGTTTCGCATGTTTCGTGTTTACATGGTTGCCATCCCTGTCAGTCAATTCACAAATGTCTAACCTAAAAATTCGTTTTTCATTTCTCATAAACGCGATAAATCGACTTCAAGTATTAATGTTTTGACAAGTGCAAAGTGTTTATTCATTATAAACAATTATTTTAATTCATATTTTTATGAATTATTCCCAGTTATTCCAATATGTTATTGTAATTGTTTCATAAACTCAAAATGATCCCGATTTTACTCATTTTGAGTCTTTTCCCCAGAAACTCAGAATGAGTCGAAGGGGTATCATTTTTGTTGCACTTCAAAATGAGTATCATATGATACTCATTTTGAGTATAGTTTTTTTCTGTGTAATTGCACTACATTGCCCCCAATCCCGTGCACTACAATGCCCCAATCACTTTTTTCACGTTGACTTCAATATCTCAATAAAAACAAAATTAAACGTCAAAACAATACTAAATTTGTGTTCAGAAGTAACAGGGTGTCTAGCGATTCGTCAATTTAAAATTCCCGGGTTTTTCCCGGTTTTTTCCCGGGTTCTTGAATAATTTTCCCGGATATTCACAAAGGATTTAAAAACATAATTAATTAAATGTTTATCAATAACATTATTTACGTAATTAAATGTTGTTTTATTAAATTACAATGATTAAAGTTATACAATAATTTCTAAAAACTTGACATAGAATATCAAAATTTCCCTTATAAAAATTTCTCAACTTTATAATATAATTGTCAATTCAGGGGAATTTAAGAAATTTGTTAAATTTTACAAAGATGTTAGAGGTTGAAGTGTGGAAAAATTTGAAAAAAAAATACTTTGAAATACTTGTAAAATTTAATTAATTTCTCAAACCATGAATTGCTCATTATAATGTTTACATAGAATTAAACTAGAATATTTAAGCTTTATTTTGACATAAGTTTTAAAAAAATCGGATGCAACGTGTTTTGAGATATTCAAAAAGGTTATCTTTCAAACTTAATTTTTTTCATAAATTCTATTATTTAAAAAAAAATTTTCTACCATTATAAAGTTGAGAAATTTTTGTTTTAAAACCACTAATAGTAAATAAAGTTTGGCTTTAATAAATATAAGAAATAATGATTTAAAAATTGCCTTACAATGTCAATTGTTTATAAGGAGGATCGTTTTGAAATGGAATGCCCCATATTTAGTTTTAAAAAGTAAAATCTTTGCCTTTCCTATATCACAGAAGATTCTTAATTTCTTCTTATAAAATTTGTTACGTATTATATACCTATAAATTGTTATATAAAAATAATAATAGTAAAAATCCTTTAACTTTTATAATATAACGTGTACTAAAGTTAGTTTTAAATAAAATTTAAGTTATTATTTTTACTACTGCTTCATACTATCAATTTACCCTTGACGATTTGAGTTGTGACCGTGTTATTATATTACGCTTTGAAAAAAATTTTAATTTTTTCTATGTCATAATTCAAAAAATACCCTATAAATAGAAAATTCCCGGGTTTTTCCCGGTTTTTTGAGGTCGAATCAAATTCCCGGGTTTTTCCCGGTTTTTCCCGATTTCCCGGTTCGCTAGACACCCTGAGTAAATTTTACATGGAAAAAGCACTTACTTGATACTTTTTTAACGAGCCTTACATTTTCAGTCACTAAAAGTCACTAAAAAAACGGAAATATGGTTTCGAAATCTAGTGTTTTTGAAGTGACGCCACAACTTCTTTTAGAAGAAGCACAATAAAGCCAAAATAATATACATTACTATAATTTGATACCTTAACCCTACCATACCAACGGCAAGTAATTCAATTCATTCGTTTAGTCAGTAAAGCAAGTGCACTACATTACCCCCCTCTACTCTACATCTTCAGGGGGACTTAAATAGGCTAAAATACTTTTGGCGATGAGAATAAATCTAAAATTGACTTAGAGTGATAACATCTTTCTATAATCAAAATTGCAATGCTCTATAACTATTTCCGTTCGAAAGATAATGAATTTTAACTGTTTTCACAGTTTAACATTTAGCCCCAGCCTCCCCTAAATATAATTATTCAATCAAATAATATTTTTGAATCAAAGTAGTATATATTTTCTATATATTAGAGTTAAGCTCATAAACTGATTTTCATTAAACGAAATCACTTAAAATTATTTCTGTATCTGAATGAAATGTAATGGTTTCTCATCAGTGTAATGAGTTAAAAGTAAGTAAATATTAACAATTACTTGTTTCAACAATTATTGATTCGACAATTTACTATTCAATATTTATCTGCTATTAACTACACTTAAGTCGGTCATTTATTTTGGTTGTCTATTTATGTTTGGATTAAACAAACTGTTTTCTCAGTGCAATAAATAATTCTTGTTTATCGGGGAAATATAGCACATTATATGCAAATTAATGTAAAATATTTTCTCTTCAGGATTGTCGAATAATTTAAACACCTGTACTGATTATCCTCGGAAGTAATAATTTATGAATTTCCATCATTTACTTGATAATTAAACATCAAAATAATAACCGAGTTTAATGCACAATAAAACTTTGGACAGTAAAAGAGTTAATCAAATTGGTCATATAATAGATAATACGAAACATATTCTTCCTATTTAAATAATAAAACATTTTCATTGTTTAATTTTCTACAACTGATTGTTAAAAATTATTTTTTTTGTATTTGTATAGCATTTTATATTATATAATTTGTATATTTTTAAAAACTTTTCTTTATGCAAATTCAAAACTTCGTAATCAAGTATTTTATTAAAATTTTTTTAAATAATTGTTTTTTTCGAGGAATTGAAATTAAATTTTTAAGAATAATCACATTTTTGAGCAATATTCCTGTAAAATTGTAAGTAAAAATAATTGAAATCCTGCGATGAGTTTAATTATTTATAAGAAAATAATTTAATGTTTAAAAACTTTACTACTCATGAAAATAATTGAAGAATTTTATCAAAATTGTTATTAAATATTTGAATTCTTTTGTAAAATATCATAAAAATCGTAGATAATTGCTGTTTAAAAAGAATTAAATTTCTGTGAAAAATTTTGTTATTTTTGAAAATAATTGAATTCTTCATAAGAATTTTATAAAAATTGTTTTAAATAATGAATTTTTTCAAAATATATTAAATATTAGGTATGAACATTTTATTTTAAATAATTGAATTCTTCTGCAAAACTTTATTTGTAAAAATAATTGAATTTTTCGATTAATTAATTTAAAATAGTATAAAAAATAATTGAAATTTTTCTATGAGTTTTATTATTTATGAAAAGAATTGAATTCTTGCTTAGAATTTTATCAAAAATTTGTTTTTGAAAAATTAAATTTTCATGAAAAATGTTATTATTTGTGAATGTATTTGAATTATTGTATAAAAATTTTGTTAAATTTAATGATTTTTTCGAAATTTTTTTGAAAATGTTATTCTAAATTAATTAAATTCCTGTAAAAATTTTATTATTTATGAAAAGAATTGAATTCTTGCAGAGAATTTTATCAATCTTTTTTTAAATCATTGAATTGTTTTGCGAAATTTTATGAAAATACTAGATATTAAAACTAATTGAATTTTGAATATTTTTTGAAAAGTTTTGAAGAATTTAATTATAATTTTTGAAAATAGTTTTTTGATTTCTAGTATTAACGAATTTAAAGTAGTGTAAATTCTCTAAAAGAACAGAAATAGTAGCTGTTAGTGGCTGAAATCTAAAAAACAGTACCCAAATAGTAGCATAATGTAAAAAAAGTAGTAAATAGTAGGTTTTAGTAGATGAGAGCGAACGCGAAGCCTGAGTAAAGTTAATACTAAAAAACATTAATTAAAAATCGTCGTTTAGTTCAACATTTAAAACTTAAAAAAGAACATTTTTATTTAACTCAAATAAATTATAATTGCTTGAGATAAAAATTGTCTCTTTTAATTAAACATTTTTTCCACCGAACCAACATTCAAACAAGTATCAATATTCAATAGAAATGTTTTTATCCCATACTGCAAATTTTCTATATATAGAAAATTCGTACTCTCTTTTTCAAAAAATCGAAAGGCTTTGGATGTTTCCCAACGGAAAATAAAAAATTACTTTATTTTTTTCATTTTGAAAGGGAAAAAATATAGTTTTCCAAAGAAAGAAAAATCCAGTTAGAAACATTTTGTAGAACAATTGTGAAATTAAATTATAAATTTACTCGGCGCTTGTATAGAAAAAGTTACCGAAAACAATTTCGAACAAAGTGAGTTCTGAATTTGACTGTTTTGGATTATTTCAGCATGTCAGAATTCTCAGCCAGAATGGATTGAGTTGGGTGACAATGGTGGTGCAGTTTGTTATGCGCCCTCACGATTGGGGAAACTGGTATTGAGAGTAACAGGATTTCCGCGGATAGTTCAGCAACAATTGCAAAATGGCCTCACAAACCAAATGCAGCAAAATAAAGAGAAGGAGGAGGATAATGATGATAATGCACCATTCGAGGAAACCAGACATCTTTATTTGGGATTCCATCATCCATGGGATCGTGATCTCTGGCGATCTTGGTTGAAGAAGGTAAAATTTTCATTTCTCTTTTCATTGAAAAAGTTGCGCAATTAGGAAAATTGTCTTTTAAATAACCACCCGCGGGGCTAATTACAACTCTAATGGTATAACAAACGTGCGGTAATTGCGATTTACGAAATTTATAAAAGCATTTTGGAACACATATATTTATATTTTAAAAAACGCAGAGTGTCGTCTTTATTTTTAAAGGACTAACTTAGTGCAATGATAGTTGAGTGCTTGACGAATATAAGTGACTCTCGACTTCTGCCAGTGAATGAGTTGATGAATTTTACACAACTTTCTCTGAAATGGCACTTAGACTGCAAGTCTAGTTTTTAAACTGATGCAATATTTAAGGAAAGAAGAACTTGTCGGGACTCTTCACCGGGTGTATTAGCTTTCCAACAAACTATCAGTTTCTTCATTACATGCACGATATTTTTTAACCAAAGTCAAAAATTCCGAAAATTATCGAATTGTACTTTTCAATTCTAAAATAGTTTTCTACTAAATTAATTAGTAATTCAGATTTCGAGAGCAGATATCGAGAGTAAAAAAGTTTACGAGAAACTAAAAAATTCATTCGATAGATTTAGCTTTGTTTCTCCCTGACTTTTCCTTGATCTCCAGACAAAAGTTTCACTTTTTCCCAGACCCTAAAGAATGTTTTGATTCACACTAAGAACGATTACATACTCAAAACAATGTTCTAATAAATGTTCAAATCATTATTTTATATCATAAGAATATTGTTACCACGGTACCCTGAAACCAATTTCAACCCTCAAGTTGCTTCATTTCCAAAATTTTTGTTGGAACTGAACATTTTCCAAAAAAAATTTCAAAATCCGTCGTGCGCGTTTTTTTAATTTCAATTTTAGTGTTTTTAGCGACGAATTTAAACTAACTTGTTCAAAAAATTATACAAAAACATAATTTTACATGAAATATAAATATAAAAATTTTTTTCGCCATATTGGATACGACATTTTGAATTTTTGAAAACTAACATCGAATTCGTAACTGAGGCTCCGGATCTAAAAAGGGCACTTTTACTATTTAAAATCAATGCTGAAAGTGCCATTTTAAGATCCGGAGCCTCCATTAGTGACCCCAAAAACCCCCGAGTAACAGAATTTAAGCAAAGTCTTAACTTCTAATTGATACCGGTCACATGTATGTGAAAATTCCGCGAAAGAAAAACACCACTGCACAAGTTGAGAACCCTTCTTTTTGAAGGTCTCAACTTCGTGAAAATGTGGTATCTTCCCTTGGGTTGACTTTTTCGACATCGACATGTAGAAAAATTAGTCTAGCTGGGCCTTACTCGTCGATTTCCCTGACCGCGCGCCTTTCTGTGTCTTTTCTATCTCTGTCTCTCTCTACTCTACGTTTCCGCTTTTCCTCTTTCGCATTCCTCCCCAGCAAAGATTCAAAGGGCCCAGCAACCACTATATATATTGAGGGGCTTAAAGTAAAAGTGGTATAAAATAACAGTGCAAGCAAAAGTGAGTCAAGTTTTCGTAAGCGCGGAAGAACGAAACAAATGTTACGCTACGAGGAAAAACGAATTACTTTTGGCTGCGAGCAAAAGCGGGATAAGATTTCACTGCGCGCAAGAAAGGGATACAGATATATTCCGTTTTTGCCCGCACTCATTTTAAGATTCATTTTTGCCCGTTTCACTTTTCCCATATATTTTATATTATTACCACTTTAATACTTATAATGATATTATTTCAAAATTAATTAACAAATTCAATTTTTTAAAATTTTAATTTAAGAATAATATAATTATTTCAAGTTTTAGGTATTTAAATTTAGATTCAATTACTTTAAATTTTAAACAAATTAAAATTAATTTTTTTTAAATAAATATATTGTATATTAAATAAAAAAATTCAATTCTTTCAAATTTTAATAAGTCTAAAATTTATGTGCCTGAAGTTGCCATCGATGCTCAGCATCGAAAATTTTTTTTCAGCAGACCATCAATTTTTTTGCATTTTCTTACTCAAGTAGGTACCCAATAAATACCTAATAAGTTTCGTCCTATTATCGATAGGGGAAAGTTGTTAAATCAACCCCTAAATTTAAAAAAATAAAAAAAAATAGGAAAAAATTGTTATTTAAAAACTAATAACGAGACCATAAATTTTATTGCATAAAATTCATTCACTCGATGCCCAATGAATACAAAAAAATTTTGACCCCCAAATCGATAGGGGAAAGTTGTCATTTTTAACCCTTAATATTTAAAAAATCGAAAAAAAATTACAAAAAACTTTATTAAAATTGCAGTTATCCTTTGACCAGCGATTTTCTTTTTGCTTATTGTTTCTATCTACTCCACTAATAAGTAAAAATAATTTCAGAAAAATCGCCGCCCGGAAAACTTGACTTTTTTGCCCGTAAAAATTAAAAAATTGAAAAAAAAGTTAAAAAAAAATTTGTGAAAATTACAATTATCCTTTGACCAGGGATTTTCTTTTTGTTTATTGCTTCTACATACTCCACTAATAAGTAAAAATAATTCCAGAAAAATCGCCGCCCGGAAAACTTGATTTTTATGCCCGAAAAATTGAAAAAAAAATTAGAAAAAAATTTGTTAAAATTACAGTTATCTTTTGACCAGGGATTTTCTTTTTGTTTATTGCTTCTACATACTCCACTAATAAGTAAAAACAATTTCAGAGAAATTGCCGCCCGGAAAACTTGATTTTTCTGTCCGTAAAAATTAAAAAAAAATTAGAAAAAAATTTGTGAAAATTACAATTATCTTTTGACCAGGGATTTTCTTTTTGTTTATTGCTTCTACATACTCCACTAATAAGTAAAAATAATTTCAGAAAAATCGCCGCCCGGAAAACTTGATTTTTATGCCCGAAAAATTGAAAAAAAAATTAGAAAAAAATTTGTTAAAATTACAGTTATCTTTTGACCAGGGATTTTCTTTTTGTTTATTGCTATGTACAAGCAATAAACAAAAAGAAAATCCCTGGTCAAAAGATAACTAATAAAAAAAAAAAAAAAATTTCAATTTTTCAATTTTTTTTTTCAATTTTTTAAATTTTTTTTAAAAATTTCAGAAAAATCGCCGCCCGGAAAACTTGATTTTTTTGACCATAAAAACAAAAAAAAAATAAGAAAAAAATTGTAAAAATTACAGATGTCTTTTGACCAGAGATTTTCTTCCTCTTCTTACTTCTACACATTCCCCTAATGTATCTACACAATTTCAAAAAAATTGTCGCCTGGAAACTTTGACTTTTTTGCCCGTAAAAACAAAAAAATTAAGAAAAAATAGGTAAAAAAATGGTGAAAATTACAAATTTCTTTTGACGAGAGATTTTCTTCTTGTTTCTTACTTCTACATATTTCCCTAATGTATCAACAAAATTTCAAAAAATTCGTCGACCGGAAACTTTGATTTTTTGCCCGTAAAAATGAAAAAATTAAGAAATTAAAAAAAAATGTAAAAATTACAGTTGTTTTTTGACCAGGGATTTTTTCTTCTTTGTTATTACTTCTACATATTCCTCTAATATGTGTACATAATTTTAAAAAAATTGCCTTCCGGAAAGTTTTACTTTTTGCCCGTAAATATTAGTAAAACTAAAAAAGATAAGAAAAAAAATTGTTAAAATCACAGTTGCCATTTGTCCGAATTGTGCAATTCAAGGGGAGATGTTTATTTATCGTGTCTTCTTTTGGCATTCGTTCAGTGCTCGGGCAATGCAGCGATACTTTAAATCCTACGGGAAGACGAGATTACCCGAATACACCCGAAGTAATTCTCCAACACAAACTCTCAACGTCGCCTGTTCTCTCCGCGAACTTGAGTGTTTGCCTGTTAGGTACTAGCTCGGGTGCGTTCGGCAATTTTCGGCTTACCTTGAGATTTAAAGGCTCGCTACGTTGCTTTCCACGTTTAGCACAACGAACGAAAATCGAATAGGGACTACCAAATTTTTAGTTTAATCAAAGTTAACAAATTAATACAATTTTTTAAAATGGACTTTTATTTCTTATTCCGTTACTGCACATGATTTAAATCAGTTCAAGATAATCCAAGAAGATCACTAGGCAATTAATAAAACATATAATAATTTTTTTAAATTGTTGTAAACAATAATAATTGAAAAATAGATTTTTCTGAAATTATTTTTACTTATTAGTGGAGTATGTAGAAGCAATAAACAAAAAGAAAATCGCTGGTCAAAAGATAATTGTAATTTTCACAAATTTTTTTCTAATTTTTTTTCAATTTTTTAATTTTTACGGGCAGAAAAATCAAGTTTTCCGGGCGGCAATTTTTCTGAAATTATTTTTACTTATTAGTGGAGTATGTAGAAGCAATAAACAAAAAGAAAATCCCTGGTCAAAAGATAACTGTAATTTTAACAAATTTTTTTCTAATTTTTTTTTCAATTTTTCGGGCAGAAAAATCAAGTTTTCCGGGCGGCGATTTTTCTGAAATTATTTTTACTTATTAGTGGAGTATGTAGAAGCAATAAACAAAAAGAAAATCCCTGGTCAAAAGATAATTGTAATTTTCACAAATTTTTTTCTAATTTTTTTCAATTTTTTAATTTTTACGGGCAGAAAAATCAAGTTTTCCGGGCTGTGATTTTTCTGAAATTATTTTTCATTATTAGTGGAGTATGTAGAAACAATAAACAAAAAGAAAATGGCTGGTCAAAGGATAACTGCAATTTTAATAAATTTTTTTGTAATTTTTTTTTTGATTTTTTAAATATTAAGGGTTGAAAATGACAACTTTCTCCTATCGACTTGCGGGTTAAAATTTTTTTGTATTCATTGGGCATCGAGTGAATGCATTTTATGCAATAAAATTTATGGTCTCGTTATTAGTTTTTAAATAACAATTTTTTCCTATCTTTTTTATTTTTTTAAATTTAGGGGTTGATTTGACAACTTTCCCCTATTGATAATAGGACGAAACTTATTAGGTATTTATTGGGTACCTACTTGAGTACGAAAAT